GCTCCTTCTGAGCCCGGAAGGTCGCCGACAAACCCTACAACCACAACGCTAAAAGACTTAGCAAAACATTGCATTCAATAAAAATAAAAAAGAGAGATGAGATAACTTGGAACTCCGCGAGAACCCAACCCGATCTTACCGCGAAGTGGATCTGAGCCAAGTCATGAAGGGGATCACACTTCTTCACCCGCGGCGGAACACTAAGAACAGGCCCGAGCGCCCGGAGCGCGGTATTCGCGGACGCCAGATTGCAAGCCGCCGCGGTGTGAATCCGCACATCGCGGAAGTAGTTAACAGCAGCGGCGCCGGGAGCGGTAGTTGCGGGAGTCCCCCAAAGCCAGCCATCTCGGGCAGCTTTTGCTGGACGGTGGCCCCCAACGAGCTGCCAGCCACCTCTCTCTCAGACCGAGAAGGCCTACTCACCGGCACCTCCGGTTCCGAAAGCGCCAAAGATAGCTGCCGCGCGTCAGATAACGGCCGTTCCGCTTGTGGAGCCTGCGCCGCCCGCGCAGTTGGTTCTGCAACACGAGCCGCCTTACGGGGATTTTCAAACGCCAGTGGCTGCTCAGTTTCCTTCCGCTTCGCGTCCCTCAGCACCGCGCTCTCCTCCTTCTTCTTCTTCTTCTTGTCAGCGCGCGGCGCCTTCACAACGTCGTCAACCGTCATCATGCTAACCAGGCTGGAGAAGTCAACACCTGCGCCGATAAGTCGTAAGAGAGCGGTTAATATGATAGAATGCAAAAGAAAAGAAATTCAACTAACCATCGTCGAACAGCTCCTGCAAACAAGCCTCGCGCACTCCCTCCTCGTATAAATTGATCCTATGAGGCATGCACGCCTCATACTCATCGTTCAGCCTATCATAGGCGCCGGCATCCGCCTCATACCCGAGCGTGCTGCCTTTCTTCCAGACAGTATGCTCCTCCACAAACTCACTCGGCCACTCTCCGGGAATGAGCTTGAAGTAGAAAAAGCGCTCGAACCAAGTTTTCTTTAACTTGGGCGATCCATACACGAAGTCGTCGGGCCTCTTGTCGCGACGCTTGATGGAAAGGCAGTCGCTTCTTGTTGTTGGCTCCTTGATTTTATAAATCTTCCGGAACAGGCCGTAAGTCGGCTCGATGTTAAGCCTTTTGCACGCGAGGCGGAGACAGCTCGCGTGCATAATCACAGACGGGGAGAGCCGCCCAACGGAACATTTAAGGCGCCTATACAAAGCGCATAAGAGCGGGTCGATGGGGAACTTAAACCCCATCACCCAATACTCTGTATACATGCCAAACCACCCCGCGGGGCAATTGCTCACCATGCTTCGCGTAGAAGGAGCGGCGTACTCCCAATGGGGGGGCAAGCCCAGTCCGCGGACTATCTCCTCCACGTCACCAACATCATAAATAGAGGCGTGGTCGGGCCCGCGCTTGAGATTGTCGTGCGGCGCCGGCTGATCGCCCCACATCTCTTCCCACTCTATAACAGTATACGCGGCGCCAACACCGCGTAACCCTAGTCGGGCCATGGCTTATGATACGCGGACAACGTGATGCGGCTCTGATTGCTCTTCGCGCGCTTCTTCGTTGGCAACCACCGGCCTCCCATCACGATCACGCCGGATTATCAACACCCCATGAGCTCCTTGTCTCGCCTGCCCGCTCCCGGAGGCAACCATACCCACGTCGGGAGAACCGCCAAGGTCATCCTCCGACTCAATGTCGAACGACGGCGTCGCCGGAACCCCATCATCACCGCCGCTGTCCCCATCACCGGAACCGCCCAATTCCAGCGAACAATCAGTAGAAGTGTGTGAAAGAGGGGAGAGATTACCTTCTTCGCCTTGCACGACCTCGGTCTCGTCAATGTTGATGCTAACCATGATAATAACTCGAGTTTTAGCAACAACAAAAGGAGAATCGAGGTTGTAGAAGAAGGAGAGGAATCTCAGAGAAGGGATGAAAGAAGAAACAGAACGAAGAAGCAGGAAGCAGAGTCGAAGGAGCCAGATGAGTCCCACTCCCGCACAGCCAGCCCACATTTATAGTCAGCCAGGGGAAAACGAAGAGTTAAAGTCACATAGGGATCCGTAACCGTCAAAATCTTTTCGAATTTCAAAAAATCCCCGCCCAAGTAGCCCAATCATGCAGGGACACGTGGACACCTACCATCATAGGCACTAGTCGATGACACCACAAGTGCCGCGCACCGCCTGGGGGGCATGATGCTCCCGCGAGGAAGAAAAAACACCCCAAGCCCAACTTAAAAGTAGCGCGCACCCACCTCAACGTAACGCGCACAACAGGGGGCATACCCGCGAGGAAAAAACAAGCGACAGCGTCGCGCGTAGCTCAAAGTAACGCGCACAGCAGGGGGCATACGCGCGAGGAAAGAAAAACACCCCAAGCGCAACTTCGAGTTACCCTCAACTTAAAAGTAACGCGCACAACGAATGAAGAATCCCACGAAAACCACGCGATCAGCACGACTCCCATCAGGCGGAAATCAGCGCGGAGATCAGCGCGATCGGTGACGAGCCTAGAAAACTTACCCCGCGGAAATCATGCAGGCCCGAGTCAATCAAGCGGAAGCCTAAACAGGTGGTATTCACAGAACACCCCCTGATGGGGGGCAATTTTTGGGCATGTGACTCGGACCTAGCCGCGGCAGAGGAATGCACCGACACTACCCCAAATACCACCAAACCCTGCAGGACGCGACGCGACTGAAGGCCCCCAGCGCGGTTCAGCGCGAAGGCCTCGAGCGCGACACTGTGAAGGCAGACTAGTGCGAAGATCTCGAGCGCGACACAAGCTACACGCACGTGGAAGGATCAAGGCGTTGACCAGACCAAAGAGCCGCAGACAGCGTCGTCTCGCTTCCCGAGGGGTAGTCACCTCAGGGTCCTAAGCACAGTCATAGGTAAGCCTCTGACAGGTCCTAGGTATAAGCATGGCCTAAATCCCTGACATGTCAGTGGTCATGTCATCGTACCCACATGTAACTCAACCACTCACCCACCACCATGTAGTCTATAAATATGGCATTTACTCCGGTGGGTGAGGGGATCGGATTTTTCTGGCTCTATCTCTAGAATTATCAACTTCTCTCTCTAAAGATTTTCCCTCTTAATTCTAATCGTAATTTCTTCAGTTCTTCCAACGACAGTTATTCTTCCATTGCTTGCTCTCCTTGACCATCTTCCAGAGTCTCACTCCTACACCCAGTTAGGCTCAAACAAGTGTCAAGAGAAAATTTAATATTTGATAATGTAAACACAAAATTAAACAACAAATGCACATTTCACCACGTCGTACATCAGCAACAGCGTAGCGCCAGTGCTTTTCTAGTAGAATATAAGTTTGAAAGTTAAGAGTTTGTAATTGAACAGGACCTAGGAAAGAGTTGATCACTAGTAATTGAATAGGATCTAGGAAAGAGTTGATCACTAAACTCCAATTCTTCCATCTAATTTTCTTATTTGTTACTAAGGTGGTGTAGGTTTGGGAAGGAGGAATTATCTTCTCACTTGCTCTTCTGACAAAAGCACATGGGAATGCTGACAACTTTAGACCCACCTGGCCACCCACATACTCATCCCACATGGAAGGAAAGAGATTGCCCTGCAGCTGCAGGCAAGGGGAGAAGGGAGAGGAAACTGGAAAGGAAAGGAAAGGAACACGCATCTCTCCTGCTCCCCCAAAAGCCCAAAAGCCATTTACCACAACACTCAGTCACTCACATTCTCATTCCCCTGCTCTTTCTGCTACTCGACCTCTCTCTCTCTCTCTCTCTCTCTCTCTCTCTCTCTCTCCTCCCTTGGTAAGGAAAATGGAAATAAATAAATGTTTTTTTAATCTTTAACCAGACTAGTTTTCTGGGTTACACTACACATGTTAATGATATGCCCTACCTTGACCTTCCCATCACCCCTGCCTGTCTTCCCATTTGTTATCTGACCCAACAAATAATCGGAGAAAGGAAGAAAAAAACCCAATTCCCTCTCGTTCATCTTGGATCTGGGGAGATTCCCCCTCTTTTCTTTCTTCACTTTGCGGTGTTGTGTTGGGAAGGGAAAGCAGCTAACTTTGGATGAGAGGTACTCACTTCGCTGCTGGGTACATTCTCATTCTTCTGCTGTGTATTTTGGCTGTGATGCGTGGGTGGGTATTTGGGCATCTGGCATCGGCTTTGCATCGTCTCTAGAATATATCTCCAAATTAGGCATCTTTTTCCTCGGTTTCCTGATTCTGGTTCTCTGCCTTCTCTCCCTCTTTTTTCCCCCAGCAGTTTTCTCCCTGATCGTCGCTGAAACGCGGTTCTGGGTTTTTTTGTTTTTTGTTTGAAGGATTCACGGGTATCCCAAATTGGACACTTCAATTCTGAGGGAAGCAAGGCTTGTGGGACTATAATTGCTTCTTTTTACAGGGGAAAAGGGACCAATTTTTTTTTTGTCTCTAGGGCGCGTTTTATTAGTGCACTGTACCACGGAGCGGCAATTATAAGTAGGAGATTACTGGCGTTAACAGTAGAGATTCAAGGGTCAGTTTGTCGATAATATTGGGGAAAAAGAAACCTTTCGGGTTTGTTTTCTAAGCTTTTGTTTCTGGAAATGTAGTTTCCCGGGTTACATGTACATGGAAAGTGCTTTGTTCTCATTTGGTTTGTAGAAGGATTGGTAGAAAGCACAGGTTGTGGGGTGGCCTTCATGCCGTGGAAAGAAAGAAAGAAGCCGAAGATGGAAAAAGGCGAAAAGGTGTAGAAAACGGTACACAGAAAAGAGGGATTTGTGCTCATTTATCCTGTGAGCTGGTGGTTGTCAACAGTCTGCAATTAATAGTACAGAAGTGGGTTTGCCACAAAGCATTGCCTCTGTACGGTGGTGGTACCGAACACCATTGAAGGCCGCAACTTTAAGATCTTTGGACAGAAATAAGCACACAAAGAACGGGTTTGAGTTTGCTGGGTTCGGAGCTGTGGTAGTGAGTTTCTTGAAGTGAGCAGAGTAGCAAATGGCTGCCAAACTGTTACATTCGTTGGCTGATGATAATCCAGATTTGCAGAAGCAAATTGGATGTATGACTGGTATATTTCAAATCTTTGATCGTCAACAAATGCTCACCGGTAGGCGCCTCAGCCATAAGAAGCTGCCTCCAGGTAATTCATACTATTTACAACTAGCTTATAACTCGGCCCGTTGGCCGAAATGTTCATATTTGAATATTTATAATTTTATGTTAAGTTTTTTTTGATAATCTTTCGAATTAGATGATACATAAAGAAATAATATATAGGTTGAACACTCGAAGAAATAACATCATCTTTTAAGAATATAAAATAAAAAAATGTATCATTGATTTAATTTTCATTTTCATAATGATAATATTATATTGGTTAGTTAATTGTTAAGAAAGATAGAATATAAAAGCTCACTGGAATTACCACACGGTCCATATATAGTTTGAAACTGAATCTAAAACCTCACAATCCTACATAAAGGCTTCAATGCTCTTCTTTTAGGAACAACATGCCACTAATAAAAAAGAAATTGAGAGTTGTTGGTTCAAGTCAACTATATACTACAAACTAAACTAAGAGGGAACCATCAAAACTTGAGAGCAAACGACAAAATTAGGGTTATCTCCAATATACTAATAGACTTGATCAAAGTCATAAGACACAAAATTAGACACTCCTTTTCTATAAGTTTCCGTAGGTTGAATAAAGAATCAACCTAATTCAGTAAATCAATGATTTCTCGTTTAACATATAAATAGGTTCTGGCAGCTGCAAAAACCATAAACCTAAAGAGCCAATAGCCACCACTCTCCGTTTAACGACCAAATTTTTATCCACTTTATCTTTAATCTCAAGAGGCATATGTTTCAACCAAACAACTTCATTTCCTCGGGGCACTTGTAATAAGTTCGCTAAAATCAACACTCATCTCCAATTCCATCAATATGTTTATCTCCCCCTTGACTGTCTTCACCTGCTTTAGTCCACTTTCATGTCCTTCCATAACCTCTCCATTTTCATTATTATCCTCATCATATCTCACTTCTCTCTCTTTAACTGCTCCAGTTTCTCTTCCATGTCTTTCAACACCCACCTCAATTCATTCACTACCCTCTCCAACTCCCTCTTATCGGATTTGAAATTTAAAATTTGCCTAGTTTAAATCCCAAAAATAAAACTGTCGTGCCAAGAGAAATCGGAAGATTAATTTTCAAATGCGTTCTTATACTGGGAAGTGAAAGGGCCAAATTATTGCACGATGGAGGGACTTTTGGAGGAAGTTATAAAGAGATAAGAACAAAGATAAAAAAACACAACATTTAATTTTAAATTGAAAAATACAATGACGCAACACGTAGTAAAAGAAATAGTTTCTTCCATGTTAGTCAATTACAAATTTACCTAAGCAAAAATTAAGGAGAGCATGAATTTTTAAATGGATAAAATTACATGAAACTCTACTATGGAAATTGAAGTATTAAGCACCATAAAAATAAATATGGTAGACTTGGTGGGTTGTTGATCATGATGTAAAAGTCATTAACTTTCCAGAGTTTAGTGTATGTTTTGTATCAAATAGAAACAACAAATTCGTTTAGTGTAGTTGGTTATGATTGTTGTCCGTGTTTGAAGAGACCTGGGTTCAAATCTTGATATTGATATTTTTTATTTGAAATAAATAAATAATTGTAAAGACAAAAATGTCCTTCCTACTTTCACTCTCGTTACAGAAAATTTGAAATGGAGAAAATTACACAAAACTCTACCATATATTAATGGGGGATTGGTCATTGCTTTGCTTTCTTCCTTCAACTCATGGATTTTCTTCTCCTCTGTTCTTTGAATACATCAATGTTGATTGCACTTGCATCTCAGGTTATGAATAATTAGATCTCCTGAATAAAAATGCCAGATTTTCCTCATTGTTATTTCTCCTTTAAAATTGTTCTGCTAACTACATTTGTTCAGTCGGTGTTATCAATAATATGCATAGAACCAACAACTTCTTGTAGTCGATGTTTGAATTATAGTCCCTCTATCTGCATTTACGTAAGGAAATGGTTGCAGCTTGTAAGTTTATTGGCATGCCTTTGGAGCTTGGTTTCTTACCAAATCACCTTATGTCTCATGCTCGGTTGTTCCTTGTAATTTACTCAGTGTGTGCTTCACAGATCCAATTGACAAGATGGTATTGATTGTTTCTAGTTGTGCATTCTATTTATTGTTTCCATTGCAGATTTTCCAGTTAGTATTTGTGCACACTATATTTGCAGTATAGACCTGATATATAGCCATCTGCTAGTGTTGTGATATTTCCACTTCTGTTATGGGTGCAGGTGAATCTAACTTAGTTTGTGGTTGCTCAGACCGAGAGTCTTTCAATACATACAATCGGCATCAGCCTCTTGTAAGCTTCGTGTTCCATTTTGTTTTTGTAACTTGTTCCTCCAGTCTATCACTTAAAATATTCAACATCTAGTTTGGGATGGATGCTGCTGTATATATCAACTAACCTGATGAATTTTATAGATAATGAGGAATTTAGAAGAGCTGATAGGGGAACTTGTTCTTGCAGGATACAAGCTTGAACAAGAGTTCAAATGAAAAAAAAAAGATGTCCTCAGAATCATCACGAGCTTCTTACTCGTCCTCGTGTTCCTCTTTATCCTCTCTTGAAATCAGGACAGATGAACCCGAAACCTCATCTATGGATAGAATAATCTTTCCTGAAACTCCATCAAGGGATCCAGTTTTAGCTCATCAGCCGAGTACCTGTTCATATTCAGAGAGGCACTCTGTTGATCTTCGAGATGTTGTTAAGGACTCCATGTATAGGGATACCAGAGGGCTGTCAGTTAAAACCATGTCAAAAGAGGAATCAAAGGGAAGTAGTGCTCTGAAGCATAAAGATTCTCCAAGGCCATTGCAGCACACTAAGTCAGCAGCAGATGGACCTTATAGGGTTGTAACAAACAATAAGGTGAAGCAGAATGTACCGGTTGATCATCTGCATGATTCGTTACGAGCTCTTGCCAAGATTCGAGAGGCAACTTGGTATCACAACGAAACTAGAGAACAGGCAAGACCATCATCGTATGAATCAAAGGATGTTTGGAGTACAATTACAAAGGATGCCCCTCGCTTTTCTTATGATGGTAGAGATTCAAATCGTTTGTCTTTTGAATCACGGGATACCATAAGAGCTACTACCCCCAAGCTTAAAGAGCTTCCCAGGCTTTCATTAGATAGTAGGGAACGCTCTATGAAGGCTGCTTCCATGGCTGATTCAAAGAGACTCAGTTACCTCTCACGAGATTTACAGCATATTTCAAACTCAGATGAACGGGTTTACAATGTACAGCAGCTATCAGGGAAACTGAACAGGCCTCCAAGTGTGGTTGCTAAGTTAATGGGGTTGGAGATGTTACCAGGTTCAGCATCAGCCAGTCAATCAGCAGGCTCACTTCCGACGTCAATAGACGAACATACTGATCTATTCTCAAGATCCTTCAAGCAAAATGATGCAAATGTTGGTATCAGGATTCCCATGTCTCCAAGAAGCTTGGCAAAAGAGCCAGTCATCTCGCCAAGAAGGAAGAATCCCGATCATTTAATCATGAAACCTATTTCAAAGTTGCCAATTGAACCAGCTCCATGGAAGCAGGTGGATGGAACTCGAGGGGCTCAAAAATTAACTCTAAAGTCCACAAAGGCCGTTACAGACAAGACTCAAAACTCATTTCCCTCGGTGTACAGTGAGATCGAGAAGCGATTGAAGGATCTGGAGTTCAAACAGTCTGGGAAAGATCTGAGAGCTCTTAAACAGATTCTAGAAGCAATGCAAGCTAAGGGACTCCTCGAGACTGGGAAACTAGAAGAGCAGGATTCCAAATTTGGAACAACTCAAGCAGATATTGACCCGAAAAAGTCCACTACCAATCAAAGGCCAAGATTGCCAAGGAAAGAAAATCTGGCCAGTACATCTGCTACAGCTAGAGCTTCTAATTCCCGGAGGACTTATGAGTCCCCAATTGTGATCATGAAACCAGCGAAACTAGTTGAGAAATCTGGTCTTCCTCCTTACTCGGTGATCCCCATTGATGGGCTTCCCAGATTTCACAGAATTCACAATGGTGGATATGCAAGTAGTAGCCGGGCGATTAAAGACCAGTTACCAAGAAACAATCACATAGAAGCACTTTCCAACTCTGGTGGCAAGAAAACAAGTGGCAGCTCTGGGATAAGATCAAATCAAACTTCTAAGCTTCAGCAGCCAACAAGAGAGAGTACTAACAGCTTTGCAAGGAGCACAGGGTCAGTAAGCCCGAGATTGCAACAAAAGAAACTTGAGTCGGAGAGGAGATCTCGCCCACCTACTCCCCCAAGTGATACTACAAGCAAACCAAGAAGAAGGCACCAATCTGGCAGACAACCAACACCAGAATCAGGTTCTCCTGGTGGTGGGAAGCATAGAATCAGGTCTCCTAAACAGGTACAGAATGATGACCAACTGAGCCAGATTAGTAACGAGTCAAGACCTTCAAGCTATCAGGGCGATGACATCATGTCTATGCAGTCTGACAGCATAGTTACAGTCTTTGACCTGAAGACTGATTCGGAATACAGTAGCGCTGATCGATCTGGTGAAGTTCAAAGTCCACCATTGAAGGCAGCTACTACCAATTATGTGGTTTCTTCTCCAATGCTGTACAGTGTAAGTAAAATGTTGACCACCTTCGAGTCCACTCTCAACAACTCTGATATATGGTTGACCTATCACTGTTTGTTTCTGTGCAGAAAGAAGCTTCAAGCTTTGAGGAAGAGGTGGCTTGCATGGAGCTAGTTGTTGCTCCTGAGCAACCTAGTCCTGTCTCAGTCCTTGATTCTTCGTCATATAAAGATGATGCAATATCCCCAGTGAAACAGACACCCAATATGCCTGAAGGTAATAACAATATTCTGCTGCTTTAAGCTTCATAAAGATTCTACATTCTGCAATTTATGGTACCTGATATTGTAATGCTACATAAATACTGACATTAGATTGAATCAAATGGTAACAGACTTATTGTTCATATCAATCGTAAGAATTGGAGTTTGCTAGTTGTTCGAAAGGAGAACTTGTTGATTTGCATTCTCTTTAGACATGAATTCTAACTGACATTATAAAATACTTGTTTGCTCTCTCTTTCTCTCCAGGTGATGGTGTTCAGAATTCCACAGATAGTCAAAATGACGACCAATGGAACTCCTCAGAGGCCCTGTCCAACAACAGCACAAGCTCAGGTCTCATCTCTGACATCAATCGCAAGAAGTTAAAGAACATTGAGAATTTAGTACAAAAGCTTAGACGGCTAAACTCTACACATGATGAAGCTAGCACAGATTATATTGCTTCACTCTGTGAGAACAATGATCCAGACCACCGATACATCTCCGAAATCTTGTTAGCTTCAGGTCTGCTACTTAGGGATCTTGGCTCAGGCCTAACTACATTTCAGCTTCACCCATCTGGTCATCCCATCAACCCGGAGCTTTTCTGTGTACTGGAGCAGACGAGAGCCAGCAATTTGCAAATGAAGGAACAGAGCAGTGGCCCCATGAAGGCGGAGAAATTCCAGCGTAAGCTAATATTTGATGCTGTGAATGAGATCCTTGTTAAAAAGTTGGCCTTGGTGGGCATCGTGCCAGAACCACGGCTGAGGTCTGGTAAACTTGCGAGGAAGACCATCACAGCACAGAAGCTTCTGAAGGAGCTGTGTGCGGAGATAGAACAGCTTCAAGTGAAGAAATTGGAGGAATGCGGCTTGGAAGACGAGGAGGACGGTCTGAAAGTTATTTTGTGCGAAGACGTGACACGAAGATGCGAGTCTTGGACAGAGTTTGATGACGATGTTTCCGGGTTAGTATTAGATGTCGAGAGGCTGATTTTTAAGGACTTAGTTGACGAGATTGTGATGGGAGAGGCAGTCGACGGTGCGAGAGCCACCAAATTAGGTAGGAGGAGGCAGCTGTTTGCGAAGTAGCAACATATCTCTAGTTTGTTCATTTCATTCATTCTTGCATCTTTTTTTTGGCTCGCGTTGTGTATGGTGTTCAGTAAATTTTTCCTATGTTTGGTAGATATCTATAATAAGGGAATATAAAAGTGACGGGGTAAGCAGTAGAATATTGCAATTGGTGGTTGACTGTAAAGAAAAAGCTATATTTTTATGAATCGCTATTTGTCGCCCATGTATTACTATTTGCCGCCCATAGTTTTATATAAAAAAAGTCTATTTTGCCCTTTAGAAACAAATTGGCCGGATTTTGCTGCCGTGGAGAAACAAACTAACCACCGACCTCATCTTCCTTTTTTTGTTTCGCATATCCCGGCGACAAATCACATTCGCCTTCCTCTTTTTTTTCCCGCAATTGCCAGTGACACTTCGCCTTCCTCTTTTTTCTTCCCGGATCCTCGGCTCTCAATCTCCTTGTGACGGCTGCGGCGAGGGAATCGCCATGAAAGAGAGACTTTGAAAGGATATGGGTGGTCCGACTGCGACAATCGGATGAGGAAGGGTAGTAGTCGCGGGAGTATGAACCGAGATGGGTAGACCGACACCTGCCATCGGCCGGACGGAGACGATCGGTCCAATGACAAAGTTCGGACGAGGTCCGCCCGCTCGTCGGACCGGGTCCACTCTCCATCGTCGATGGGGTCCGATCTCCGGCGTCAAACGCACCTTCGATGACTTTATTGCCGAAATTAAAGCAACTTTTTTTTATAGAATTGTGACTAAATAATTATATTGTTTTAAATAATTACAATTTGATAATTATACATATTAAAGAGAGCTTTAAATAATTATTAAATCTGATAAATCTGATAATTATGGAAACTTTCCTAATTAACATCTCGCCACCAATCTTGAGTCTCTCCCCACCAATCTAATTTGTTTTCTTTGATTAAAAGTTTAAAACACATGACCTTCGTTTCGGGTCCGGATCAGGTCAGTAACCCTATCCTCAGTAACTGTGCGTAACCCCTTCCTCCATCCTCCACGTGTCTGCATCTGAGCCGTCCCCTTTTATTTAAATGGAACACGGAGGGGCAGTAGGGTAATTTGCATCCGCCCCTCATTTAATGCTGACGACCTGACACCTACTTTTGACCGAACTTGAACCCCACTCCCTGCCCCCCAACACGTTTCCCTCTGTCACTCTTTTATCTATTGACTATTATTAAAAGAAAAATTAAATGATTTCTTCTCTCTCCCATCTACAACTAAAAGAGAGAGAAAAAAAAAGTACATGCTCTCTGCACACTAACTCTATCTCAAAAACAAATATGAATTCAACAATCTCAGCTCTCTCTACTCCAACTCCAACTCAAATTGAATGATGATTTTTTCATTTAATAATTCTCTGCCAAGAAGGGTAATTACAAGTATGAATATGACTATCACTTTCTACTACTATGGTAAAACATGACAAAATATGCTAAAGAAAATTAAAAATCTAATTACCATACAATACCATATGCTATAAATGCTAAAATAAAATTAGAAATCTAACTACCATACAATACCACATGGTATGTGGTAAAACATGTTACAAAAAATTATAAATCTAACTATCATACAATACCACCATAGTAGAACATGGGATTCTACCAAAAAAAAAATAATAATAATAGAACATGGTAAATCGAATGACCATAAAATAATAATAATTACCATACAATACCACATGGTAAGAGAACGTAAAACCATTTAAAAACAAATATAAATATAATTACCATCATCTACGACCATAGTAAAGCATGGTATGCATAACAATACATTTAGTTACCACACATTACCATATGGTATAGTGTGGTAATCTCAATATATATATAATTACGACTTTATTTACTTTCTTGTCCTCTTCATTGTCTTCTCACCCTTCTTTCCCATAACTGGGGTCGATGACCACCTTCTTACCACCATGGTAAAACATGGTAACCATAAAAATACGTTCAGTTACCACACATTACCATATGGTATAGTGTGGTAACCACAATAAACATCTAGTTACCACATAATACCACCATGGTAAAACATGGTAACCTTAAAAAATACGTTTAATTACCACACATTACCATATGGTATAGTGTGGTAATCACAACTGGGGTCGATGACCACCTTCTTACCACCATGGTAAAACATGGTAACCATAAAAATACGTTCAGTTACCACACATTACCATATGATATAGTGTGGTAACCACAATAAACATCTAGTTACCACATAATACCACCATGATAAAACATGGTAACCTTAAAAATACATTTAATTACCACACATTACCATATGGTATAGTGTGGTAACCATAATAAACATCTAGTTACCACATAATACCACTATGGTATAGTATGGTGACCACAATATACATCTAAGACATACTTCACATGCTGCCTCCTCTCATTTTCTCCTCTGCGTTTGAGAACACAAAAATACAAATGAGGAAGATTGGAATTGAAAATCCACAAAAAAAATACTAAAGCATAAAACATGCAAACTCGACTCACCTAAATCTTTCCCCTCTCGATTGATATGGAGCTTCACCAAATTTGAGGTCGAGGACTTGACAAAGACAAGAAACATAATGAAAGAAGGAGAATTCACTTTTCTCTCGTCCATTTCGGTGGGGAAAAAAAGAAGAGAAGGAGGGAGCAACTCGAGAGAAGAAGTATCTCGAAGAGAAGAAACACAATGAAAGAAGGAGGCTGCACTTTTCTTTCGTCGATTGCTGAAGAAAAAAATGAAGAACCGAAGAAGAGATCAGATCTGGAGAAGAAGAAGATTGGGAGAGAGAAAGAAAGAGGAAATGAGAGTTTCAGAAAAAGAGAAAAAGTTGCATTCTCTCTCCTCCATTCAAACCAGCTAATAAATGCTGGACAAAATAAAGGAAAGAATACAAAATTAAAGCAACGGACAAAAATACCCCTGACCATCTCCGCATCCATCTCGACCGCACAATGAATCCGTCCAAATCAACGGTTTCTAGATGGTTACTGATGGGTGAGTAACCAACTGTTACTCACCCTATCCTCAGCCCTTCATTCCACAAACTTCCTTAATTACCCACGTCCAATTAACAACGGAAACTCTTAATTACATAAAAAAAGGAAAGCAATCATTAGTCATAATAAGAAATAGTGGTGCAGGTAGGAATTAGTGCAGGTTGTTATGAAACTAATGAAAATATAAACAACTACAAGAGAAGATTAGAGAGGAAAAGACACAAGAGAAGAGAGGGGAAGAGTTCTTCTTATTCATTCTTCACTTTTGATACAATGGTGTGCTATATTTATAGGCACACTTTGGTAACCACTACATCCTTATATCAATGCATATGAATGAGAGATAATAATGTAGAAATAGAGGTTACATGTAACTCCCAAGTGAGCATCCAATGTGGTAGGTCATTGGTCATCTATATATTAATATTTACATAATACTCCCCCTTGGATGACCACTAGATTGCATTACGCTCTATCATACTGCCTCATTAAAAACCTTACCAGGAAAACCCATTGGGAAAAAACCATGGTTAAGGGAAAAAGAGTGCAGTGCGTATATGCTCCCCCTCATGACCACATCACTTCAGATTATTGAGTCGTTGAACTCAAATTTCACGAACAACTTTTAGAAAGATTGTTGTCGGGAGTGAGTTAGTGAATAATCTTCTAGATTGTCAATTTGATGCATGATCTTTAGATTTTCTTCATACATGATCATCAGGATCATTTCATTTGCAAATAGTTCACAACCACAAGTACTTGAGATATGGTGGATCACAAAGTGTAACGAAAAACATTCGGGACTTGCCCATTATAGTTTGTTTTGTTTCTTTATGAAACATTTATATCACCATATGTAAGAGATAGCTCGTCTCCGATCAACCAATATAAGAATCAAATGATATATAGGATTTGGATATATAGTTTACCAAATCTCTCTTTGATAATACCATAATAGAACAATCGCATATATTGTTCCTGGAGGTAACAAAGTATCTTCCAACGTTCTAATGAGGAAAACATTGTATCTTGCCAATATTATCAACACCAAAATGATAGTTTATATGGTGCTTGGCTAGCAAGGTGCATTGGTGCTCTAATGCATCAACATATGGTACTTCAGGACCTAATATTTCACTTCTTTCTTGATTTCTAAATGGATCTTTGATCACTTCTAGTGATCTTAGGATCCTAATGTTATTTGATGAACACAATTCGTTCATGCAAAATTACTTTCCCACTTTTTCAACATTACCTTCCTTGCCCATAAAAAGGATCTTAAATCCTTCAATTTAACTTATGTCTCGAAGCAATCAACTGCTTTAGGAAGCTCTTCAGGAGATCCAATAATAGTCATATCATTAACATAATATGAGATCGTAAAAAAAAAATTTAACTAACACAAATTGATGCAAGCAATTCTTTCATATAACGAAAGATAATAACAAAACTCACATCATAGAAACATATGAACTAGACAAAGCACATTCATAAAACACAACTCGTACTTTAAAGTAAAACACAACTCATAAACCAAGATTTTAAAATCCTTGAAGCACATACAAACAACACAACTATATATGCACAATGCAAATGCTCTAATGTACTCTATCCGGATTTAACCTTTTAAGGTCCATTCACCCCACTGTTGTAGGTGTTCACTTAGACGAGTATTTCACATTCGTCTATATTTTCTCAACCCATGCAGGGGATATTCTTAGTCTATCATTATATGTTCTCGAGAACTTTACTTGTTTACTTCAGGTAAATTAATCCTTCTATGAGTAATTAATCCTTATGGGAGTTTCAAATATATTTAACATCTTCGGGGAATTCAAACAAATAGGCTATCACAACAATTTTCAAACATTGATTTGAAAAAGTAGTTGCACCCACCACAGGGGAGTATAACTCCTCTTAAACAATGATAGGTCTTTTCAAGAAACCCATTGCAAAACATTGTGCGAAATCTCGCACAAT